CCCCAAAACCCCAAAACCCCAAAACCCCAAAACCCCATGAATGAGAATCATGTTTAATATGTTTAAATAATATTTGGAGAGGTCAGTAGATAAATACGTAGGCAGTGAAGTCGATCAAACTTAAGTCAATATCTAATACTTAATATTTAAAAATTTGATTTAAAATGGGAGCGCTGTGTTCCGGGAAAAGTGGAAATCCTGATGAGCTTAACACTGGAAAAAATGTTCCTTTAAGAGATAATCATAACTAGGTGCCTAAGATTGCTTATAACCTTGATCGTAAAGCCAATGGAAGTAATAATGACTCTCCTGATAAGGTATATTAGAATTGATTAATAATGAATATTCTAGAGATTGTAGATCGATGATCAAGATTCTCAAAACATTTAGGTGGAAAAGGTACTCAAGAAGTCTACTACCATCAACAAGGATCAATCTGGAATTAAGAGTTCCCATGTTTAGGAAACAAGTGTTGAAGACGAAGTCTTGAAGTAAGCTGAGGAAGAGATTAAGAGATAAGAATAAGAAGATAAACTCCGCCAAGAAAAGATATTAGAGCAAATCTACTCTGAAAAACTCCTAGAAGAAGAAAAATTGAATTAAAAGGCAGAAGAAGAGAAATTGAGATAAGAGAAAGCTGCTGAGTAATAGAGAAAACTTGAAGAGGAATAATAGAGACTCTAAAGAGAGAAAGAAGCTGAATAGCAAAGATTATTGGAAGAATAAAGGAAAGCCTAGGAAGATGCTGAGAGATTATAACGAGAAGCAGAAGCAGAAGCTGAAGCTGAGGCCGAGAGATAGAGATAAGCTGAGCTTAAACGTTAGGAAGAAGAAAGAGTCAGATAGGAACAAGAAGCAGAGGCTGAGAGATAAAGATAAGCTGAATTGTAGCGTTAGGAGGAAGAAAGAATTAGAAAGGAATAAGAAGCTGAAGCTGAGAGATAAAGATTGGCCGAATTACAAAGACAAGAGGAAGAGAGAATCAGGAAAGAAAAAGAGGCTGAAGCTGAGGCAGCAAGATAAGCTGAATTAAAAAGATAAGAGGAGGAGAGAATCAGATTAGAATTAGAAGCTGAAGCTGCTAGATAAGCTGAATTAAAAAGATAAGAGGAAGAAAGAGTGAGATTGGAATAAGAAGCTGAAGCTGAAAGATAGAGACTAGCAGCTGAGGCTGAGGCTGAAAGATAGAGATAAGAAGCTGAGGCTGAAAGATAGAGATAAGAAGCTGAAGCTGAAAGATAGAGATAAGAAGCTGAAGCTGAAAGACTACGCAAAGAAGAGGAAGAGAAGCAAAGATTAGCCGAGTAATAGAAATTAAAAGAAGAAGAGGAGAAGAGATAAAAAGAGGAACAAGAAAGATTACGCTTGGAAGAAGAAAAATAACGCTAAGCAGAAATTAAGAGATAAGAGGAAGAGGCTGAAAGATTAAGATAAGCAGAAGCAGAAAGAATTCGTCTCGAAGAGGAAGAGCGTCTTAGAAGAGAATAAGAGGCTGAACTTGAGAGACAAAGATTAGCTGCTGAAAAAGCTGCTGAAGAGGAGAGACTAAGAATAGAAGCAGCTGAGAAGGCTGTTGAAGAAGAGCGATTAAGAATTTAAGCTGCTGAAGAAGAGAGACTTAGAATCGAGGCTGCTGAGAAAGCTGCTGAAGAGGAGAGATTAAGAATTGAAGCTGCTGAGAAAGCTGCTGAAGAAGAGAGATAAAGAATCGAAGCTGCTGAGAAGGCTGCCGAAGAAGAGAGATAAAGAATCGAAGCTGCTGAGAAGGCTGCTGAAGAAGAGAGATAAAGAATCGAGGCTGCTGAAAAGGCTGCTGAAGAGGAGAGACTTAGATAGGAGTAAGAGGCAGCTGAAGCTGAAAGACTTAGAAAGCAATAAGAGGAAGAGGAAGAGCAAAGGAGACAGCAAGAAGAAGCTGAAAAAGCTAAATAGCAACAAACAGTTGAAACTAGTGAATCAACTGCTGCAGATACTAATACAGCCACTGATGATGCTGAGAATAAATAAGATAATGAGGAATAAAAAGAAGAAGGAGGTGAGGATAATGGTGAAAATGACGGGCAGCCAGGCTTGTAGAGTCAAAAGACCAAGAGGAAGAAGAATAAGAAGAAGAAGTGAGAGAGTATGAGTTTATGAGGAAGTGTATATTCCGAGACTACTACTATCTATTTAGAATTCTAAAGGATTATTGCTTGTTATTGTTTCTTAAATATTCATATATTCACAACCACACACTATTATTGCACTTCACATTCATGGGGTTTTGGGGTTTTGGGGTTTTGGGGTTTTGGGG